GAAGCTGTTGTTTCCTCTGCCGCCTACGCCGCGTCGTCTCCTCGTCGGCCTGCTGCCTTCTTCTCCCCCCTCACTCATACTGCCCCCCCCCCCCCCGCGTACCCCACACTCCTCTTCCTCCCTCCCCATTGTCCTCCTCCTTCCCTCCTCCTCCTTGACCTCCTGCCTCCCCCTCCCTCCCTCTCGCCCTGTCCCTCTGTCCTCCTCCTCCTCTTCCTCCTCTTCCTCCCCCTCCTCCCTTCTCAATATCCTCCTTCCTGCTCCCTCACCCCAATCTGCGTCCTCCTCGAGATAGATCCGTGCGTTCGAGCCCTATGATTGGTCCCGCTGCGCGCTCTTTTATCGAGATCAAGATGAGAGAGGGACGGGGGGAGGGGGAGGGGGAGGGGAAGAGGGGGGGGCAAGCTGGGCGCGCCCGTGCCACATCTGACATCCTGTCCCACCCTCCGACCCCTTCCCATTCCGCGGATGTTGTCTCTATCCGCGGACGCGTGTCATAGCCGACCTGGAATTCCAACAACAAGTACCCTTATCGTGTTATGCTCAATCGGAAAAAAAGGGGAGCTGCGTACATAGGAGGAGTTGGCGGGTGAGCAGGAGGACGAGCAGGAGGAACAGGAGGAGGATGTGGAAAGAGGAAGACGAGGACGAACAACAGCAGCAGAAACTGGAGTGAAGGAGCGGGCGGAGCAGGAGGACAAGTGGAAGGCGGAGGAGGGGAAAGGAGGGGGACGACAACGGTGAAAAAGGACTCGGATCCAGAAAAACGGCCTGTGTTAGGGGCGAGAGCGCCATTCTGAATGACGGGAGCAAAGCGCCGATCCGAAAATGAGGCCAACGCCGCAGCGGGAACACCATTTTGAAACTCCGAAGACAATCATATTGCAAAAAAAGCGTAAGACACATTAAACATTAGAATCCTGTGTTTAAGCTGAGAACGCGGAGCAAGCGGGACTGCATCCGGACAACGTCAGGGGGGCAAGGAGAGTATTTTCCATGATTCGCTAAACAGTGCTTGCCTTCAAGGGTTCTTAATTGTCGTCTATGGAACTGGGCCTGCGTGGCGGTCTGGCGGATCCGTAGTCGCCGTCGCCGCCCCGTCGCCGCCTCGTCGCCGCCAATCGTCTGGGCTTGCGTGGCGGTCTGGCGGCTCCGTGGTCGCCGTCGCCGCCCCGTCGCCGCTTCGTCGCCACCCTCAAGCCGCACTGGCACAAGGCATCGTTCGTTTCGGCCACGAACCGGGGGGGGGGGGGGGGGGGGGGGGGGGCGATTCCCGTTCTGAGCTCCTGAAGCGTGTTGGGCTGTCGGTGGTTACGCTCAGGACTCTCGATCCTCCAATCGTCGGCCCTACTATCGCAGGTCCTTTATGCGGAGATGTGCAGACAGTGCCACACGGTGAATTCCGCGGGCTGGAGGTCGCCATACGCTTCAGCAAGGGATACATGAAGTATGTTACGGACAACTTCGCAGTGTATAAGGGTGGATCAGCCGTGCCTTTATGGAGCCAGCGGGGTCTCTTGGGCCCATCTGGAGGGGGATCTGGAAGCTCTTGGTTGAGAGGGGCCCGATCTTCTTTCAGTGGGTTGGGTCCCTTCGCACTTCTCTCCGACTGAGGTTCACGAGCAAAGCGTTCCTTGGGAGCTTTGGCTCGGGAATCTAGTGGCCGACGAGATCGTAGATTTGTATGCTGAGACGTATCGTGTGCCTGATGGGCAGGCAGCTAGGGTGGTGGAAGTGGAGGATAAGGCAGCTTTGGTCAGGAAGCGACTCCTGATGGCCCAGCTGGATGTCTTCTCGGCTCAGGTTGGACCTGACACCCCCGCTCCTGAGGTGCCAGGCGAGGTTGTCGTCCTTCCCCCTCGTCCCCCCCCCGCGGCCGCCCTCGGCCGCAGCGGTCGGTCTGTTCTCCTCCGCCCACCAGCTCACCGAGGCGGGGATTGCGTGCCGCCGCTGCTACTCTTCTTCTAGCAAAGCCTCGTTGAATCTTTGGCTGCAGTCAGAATGTGCGAAGCCCGTTCGCATTGATGACGTGCTGCCTCGGTCTCTCAAATGCTTTAGGGTCACATCGGGGGTGGATGGGCGCATGAGAGTCACAGTCTACTCTTTTCGCAAGCCGACTCCTTTTGGTTGTGCCAGGATTGTGGAGCCATGGGTAAGGAGCAACTTAGACTGCTTGCCTCCCCCTGCCAACTAGATCGGATCACCCGCACTCGTCGGGAGTATGTCGATCGATTTCTCAAGGGTCTCCCCCCCAAATGTACAATCCCAGAATGGTTGAGGTTTTTGTTGCGTCGCTTCGCGACTGTTCAGCTCCGCTCCGCTCGGTTTCGTCGCCACCCCGTCGCCGCCCGTCGTCTGGACCTAGCCTTCACCACAAATATTGCACAACATAGACTGTAACAGACGCTCTCTCTTTTATACAACCCCCCGGGATTATCCGTTCCCCTTTTCGTATTGCAATTTACAGATGGTGTTGCCCCATCGTCCAACGTAAAAACAAAGTCATACCATCCCAGCCGGGCCGGTACCCCCCCCCGCCATCCTCTGCACAAAACACTATGCGCGCACTCGTTTTCAAAAACCATTAGTTTTCAATAACCCCGTGCAACACATCTGACGAAGTGCGCACGCGCGCGTCGTCGCGCGCGAATGCCCAAATCCTTCAAAAACCGTAGGTTTCTTAATGATTTTGAAATCGAGTGTCCAAGAAACAGATAAAACCACAGGGTTTCGCAACACAGATTTTCAAAAAAGAAAAACAACAACAAAAAAACTTGCGCGCGCGCTCATGCGAAATCTTAGGAAGACCCGGCGTTTTTTTTCCAGCATTCTCGAAAAATGCTACCAAACGGGCTTCGCGCGCGCATGTCGAAACCATTCGAACGCCCTTGCGCGCGTGCCGTCGCGAGAATCCTTTGACAAAGAATGTGACGAAGTACGCGCGAGCCGACGCGCGCGCATGCCAGAATCCGTCAACAACCCTTGGTTCCGTAGGGCTGTCAAAATCGGGTCCACAAAGCATATAAAGCTCATGGTTTCGCAACATCAGCTTTCAACAAAAAAACCTGCGTTCGCGCTCTTGCGAATCCTTAAGACAACCATCGGTTTTCAACATGGTCATGGAATGTTGCGCCGCATGTCGAATCATTCGCACGCCCTTCAGCGCGCGCTGGGGGGGGGCACGATCCGTGCCAAGTAATACAATGTGGATCTCTCTCGCGCGTCGGCCGCGCGCGCATGTCGAACTCTTTCACAACCTTCATCGCCGACGCGAGGACGCCGTCACTGTCGCCGGCGTGATCAGCATCGGCGCCCGCGCTGGCCGCGCCGTCGTCGTTAAGTCGCCGACTCGCACTGAAGTGCCCGCTAGGATGTGCCCAGCGGTCAGCGCCACCGCGGCCGCGTCGGTCGCGCCAAACTAGCTGGCCGCTGCGCGCGCGTGCTTGGATTAGCGCGGCCGCAGGGATGCACCAGCAAACGCAAGCACTTATCGCAATCGCCACCGCGTGGGTTTTGCAATTCAAGTTGCGGGTGGGTGGTGGGTTGTTTGCAAGAGCACGGGATGTCTCAACTCGTTTGTGCAAAAATAAGAAAAGTTGTACCATATAACGAGTGCGCCACACAGGCTACATCACATATACCACACCACATATCTGCCGCCTGGCCACGAGGCACGAAGTGGAACTACCCCCAGGCTCTCGTGTGTGCTTTGTTCTCTGTGCTCAGGACTAGGGGATTCTACCTAGTATTCTAAAGGCTGGGGGCCCAGATTCTCAAATTTCCTGTGCGCTCCCGCGCGCTCCTGGGCTGGTTCGGGTGACCTTTCCAGAAACCAGAGGGCCCCAAGACTGGCCAAGAGGGCCCCAGAGAGCGCCCAAGAGGGTATAAGAGGCCTCCAAGACAGCCCAAGAGCGCTCCAAGATGCCCCAAAGAAGCCCCACAAGCGCTCCAAATGGACCCCCAAGAGGGCTCAAAGAAGAACAAAGCATTGACGTTCCGTGTGTTCTTCGATGTGTTTCGCGTTCTCGCGTTTTCGGGCTTCCGACGCTCTCAGATGGCCCCAGAGGCCCCCAGGACCGCCCCAAGACGATGTTCCTCCGGTGTTTGAAGGATGTTCGTGTTTGCTCTTTGTCTGCCTTCCGACGGCCCAAGACGGCCCAAGAGCCCCAAAATATCGCCCAAAGATTGCCCAATAGGCCTCCAGGATGGCACCAGAACGGCCCAAGAGGCCCCAACGGCGGCCCCAAGAGGGCCCCAATAGGGCCCAAACGGCCTCTAAGGCGCCCAAGACGGCCTCCAAGACGGCCCTGGAGCACCCCAAGCAAGAAGGCCCCAACTCGGCCCAGAGAGGCCCCCAAGACAGCTTCCGACGGCGTCAGGACGGGCCAGGAATCCACACCAAGACGGCCAAAGAGGCCCCCGAGAAGCCCCCAAAGGCCCCCAAGGAGGCCCAAGGAGGCCCCCAAGATGCCTCCAAAAGGCTCCCAGAAGCTCCCAAGATGCCCCTCTCCTCCTCCTCCTCCTCCTCCTCCTCCTCCTCCTCCTCCTCCTCCTCCTCCACCACCACCGCCTCCTCCTCCGCCTCCTCCTGATCTTCCCCGCCATCCTCTCCCAAGTGTTCCCCGAAGGGTTTCCACAACGGTTTGGGGAAGACATGGTCCAATAGCTTGGCAGAGCTCTTGCCACAACGCTCGGCCAAATGGGCGATTCTAGAAGGCAGGGGGCGGCGGTGATTCGCCGCAGGCGTCTTCAATATGATAGATTGCCCCACGTATAAGGTTGTACGGCATACTTTGCACCACATAGATGGCACCACATATAGGCACAACATAGATCGCGCCACATATATTGCACAACGTATATTGTACAACAGTGGTTGCACAACATGGATTGCACCACAAATCTGCTCCACATAGATTGCACAACAGATAGGCTAGACACACACTTTTAGGAGTCTACGCTGGCTAACATGTGTAACTGTGGACAGGGATGGAAGGGAGGTGGAAAGGGGGGAGGGATATGCCCCGTCCCGCACACGGCATGTCCGTTTTTGTAGCGGTCATGCTACGACGTGCCGATGAGAAGAGCTCTGTGACACAGAAGGGGAAAGGCAGCGCTTTCTGCTCCACACCATCTGCACTCGAGGAAGTACGAGCAGCTCTTCCCTGCCCGTTACAGGCGCGAGTGCGTCATCCACGGAGCGAGACCGTCCTGTCAGTTTCTCGCTGGAATGCGCAAAAAGCAGATCTCAGAAGCACGCTTACAAAAAAACACAGGTGCGCGGGCATCAATTCTCGAGGTCGTTTGAGGTCCCAGATCTAGCCCAACTCGACGCGTTACCCCAAAACGCCGACCACGGCATCCTCTACATGATCCCAATCGAGCAACATTGCGGCCAGCGACTTCGTGGCAGAACACCGAACAAAAAAGCAAGCAGCTGAAGAAAACAGTCGAGGAGTGAGGAGGGAGGAGCGGGAGCAGGAGCAGGAGGGCTGAGCAGAAGGAAGCAGCAGGACAACAGGAGGACGAGAGGACACTCCAGCCGTGCACACCGACGCCAGCACCTCACACGCCCCATCCTCAGGCCCTGGGGGCCGGCGCACGGTACACTCCCTCCTGGCTGCCGGCCATAATCCCAGACGGGCGACACGCTGGCCTGGGGCCCGAGCTGCTCGAATACGTAGCACCCCGCAGTTGCGGATAAGAGTGAAGGGGGCGGCGAGGACGTCGGCAGTCTGCAAGGCTCTGAAGAAGGCCGCCGCAGGCGCCTCACTTTTACAAATTATGCAGTGAGCCCGCGGCAGGCACCGATTTTTCCTTGAAGCGATATGGGTGGGTTGCGGGTGGATCGCGGGTGGGTCGCTGGTGGGTCGCGGGATGGGTCGCGGGTGGGTCGTGGGTGGGTCGCGGGTGGGTCGCGGGTGGGTCGCGGGTCGGATCGCGGGGGGGGGACGACGACAACAAACAACAGCAACAACAACATCAACAACAACATCAACAACAACAGCAACAACAATCACTTTAAGACTGTTCGCTCCGATCTGCTCACGTGCTAAGCAATACGTTTTTCCCAGACCCTCGGTACCCGCCCTCGTCGTCTTCGATCGTACCCCCTTGGGGGTATATCTTCCTTACCTGCCACGTGTATTTAGTGCAGCCCCTAAAACAAGGGAAGAGAGGACGGGTGGAAGGGGGAGGGAGAATAATGGAGCACGACAGAAATTGGCAGGAGGGGGGCAAGGAGCAGAAAACAAGTGGTATAACCAGACGGGCAGATCGGGTGGGCAGACCCATAGCAGGCAGGTCGGGAAGGCGGGCCCAGGCGGCGAGGTCGAGCAGGCGGGTTGCTGAAGCGTGGGTCATGCATGAATCGCGAGGAAGTCTCGAGCGGTAGCGCGATTCCGAAGTGAATCGTGAGAAAAGCCAGCGTGGGCCACGAAGGGCATAAAATCCGAGGCCACAGAGGGCAGCGACGTGGCCGCTGAGGGCAGCACCAGGGGCCACGAAGGGCAGCGAGGGGGCCACAAAGGGCGACAGCGGGGCCACGAAAGGCATGCGTATAGGGCCACGACGGGCGCGAGCGAGCGGGGGCCACGAAGGGCATTCGTATACGGGGCCACAAAGGGCGACAGCGGGGCACTAGGGCAGCAAAGGGGCCACGAAGGGCAGCGAGGAGGCCACGAAGGGCGACAGCGGGGCTACGAAGGGCATGCGTATGGGGCCACGACGGGCGCGTGCGACCGGGGGCCACGAAAGGCATGTAATGCGGGGCCACAAGGGGCAGAGACGGAGCCACTGAGGGCACAACGGGGCCACGAAGGGCAGCGAGCGAAGGCGACCGCGGAACCAGTACGGGCAGCGAGGGGCATCGAAGGCGGGCGATGAGCAGCGAGCGGCGACTGCAGTCATTAACGGGCTGGTCGGGTGGGCAGGCCCAGACAGGCGGGTCGAGCGGGCGGGTCGTTGAAGCGTGAGTCCTGCTTGAACCGCCAGGCAATATCTAGCGGGAGCACGATTCCTGAGTGTCGAGGACAGGCATCTGAATTGGGTTCGGTGGTAAGTTGCGAGGAAGCCCCAAGCGAGAACGCGATTATGCAATAAATTGTCAAGATGTATCAAGCGGGAGCCGGTGGACATTGCCAGGACGTCCCAAGCGAAAGTGCGATTCTTCAATCAATTGTGAAGAAGTATCAGGCGGTAGCCGTTGTTGTTGTTGTTCCAAACCAGGAGCCAACGACACAGTTTGAGCCTCAAGACTTTCCCTGATAAAAAAAACAGGGTGCGAGCCCTGGGAGGGGTACTTCAGTCGGAAAAATACAATGTGCACCGGGCGTGGGGGATGAGAAAACAATGAGAAAGATAAATGAGAGTTCAACAACAACAATAATAACAACAGCAACAACAACGGCAACAACAGCAACAGCAACAGCAGCAGCAGCAACAGCAACAACAACCATAACAACAACAGTAACAACAATAACAGCAACAGAGGCAGCAACAACAACAGTAACAACAACAGCGGCAACATACACAGCAACAGTAGCAGCTACATCAACAACAACAAGAACAGCAACAACACCAACAGCAACAACAACACCATCAACACCAACAACAACGGCGACGACAACAACAGCAAAGGCAACAACAACAACCACAAAAACCACAACAACACCAACAACACCAACAACAATAACAATCCGCACGGCATAACCTCGCTTCAGCCACGCGCCCAAGGACAATGAATGACCGTTCGGACTCCTCACCGTGATGTGGTCAGCCCCCCCCCCCCCCCTCCCCGCGCCCCCTTTAGAGGCGTTATCTCTCTCCACTTTGTTTCCCCCCCTATCTCTCTCTTTTTCCAAATTGTTCCTCCTCCATCTTCCTCCTTCTCAGCATAATGTTATCATTATTTGTTTGTTCTTCCTCGCCCTCCTCCTCCACAAAGCTTGGCCAGGAGAGTCGGCGCAGGATCATGGCCACCAAATGTTGGTATTCATGGCATTTCGATTGTCACAAGAATAACCAAAGGCTGCTATTCAGATTTGTTTGTTCGGTTCTCTGGAGTTCGACAAAGTTGCCCAGGAAAACCTGTAGGAGGAAAACGGCCGCCAAACGTTGTGATTCACATGTCAGCTTGTTTTTCCCAGCCCTCGTGCGTTGGGTTCTCGTTTTGAATAGGGCGCTACGGTAACCACTTCTCTCATGCCCCCTCCTCCTGCACCCTCCTGCGCTGCTCTTAGGGTGGCTGCGAAGTGCGCAACTGTCGCCACTTTCCTGAACACCTGAAAGGTCCAGCGGAACGGACTTACACGCGGATCCTGACGGGACCTCGCGGCTCCCTCGGGGGTTGCGAACTGCGCAACAGTCGCCGCTTTCCTGGGCTCCTGGGAAGTCCCGCTGAGTGGAGTTACTCGCGGATCCAGTCGGGACCTCGCGGCTCCCTCGGGGGCTGCGACGTGCGCAACTGTCGCCGCTTTCGTGAGTTCCTGGGAGGTCTCGCGTAATCGGCTTACACGCGGATCCGGACCAGACCTCGCGGCTTTCCTGGGGGCTGCGACCTACGCAAACGTCGCCACTTTTGTCGGCTCTTGGGAGGTCCATGGAGGTCCAGCGGGATGGGGGGCCACGCGAAATCCCAGCCGAGACCTCCGATTCCGTGGGGAGCTGCCAACTGCGCAACCTTCGCCACTTCCGTGGGCTCCAGGGAGGTTTAGCTGAATGGAGGTCCACGCGCACCCGGCCGAGACCTCGCCTCCCTGGAAGGCTGGGAACTGCGCAATTCTCTGCATTTTCGTGAACTCCTGGGAGGGTGAGCGGCGTGGAGGCGCACGCGCACCCAGCCGACACCTCGCAGATCCGTAGGGGGGGCTGCCCAGCTGTGGGCTGTCTCCGTCCGCTCCTGAAGGCCCCGGAGCATTCAGCAGCATTACCGCGTCATTCAGCGCGCGGCGCTGTTGCATCGCAAAGCGCAGGGCGCTGGACCGTCACTGAGCGCATGGCGCTGTCCTCAGTGCCGCCCCCCCTCCTCTGGCGCCTGTCGCCCGCTGCGGCAGCGCGGGTTAACCGAGCAGATGTAGCGCATAGCGCTGTCCACCTCCTCCCTCTTCATCCCCCTCCTCCGCCCCCCCCCTCTAGCCGTTCTGGGCCTTCGCTGTTTTTGTAGAGTCTTGCCTGTGCGAGCTTCAGAACGGCGCGCTGCGCAAGTGAGCCAGTTTCGCTCAATTCAACCATTCTCCAGTCTCCCCAGCCATGGCGCCCGAGACACCGCCATGGGAAGGGCGCTCCAACAAGGCCATGGACAAGCGCTGGAGTGACCACCACAACAAATCGCGGGGGAAACGGGGATCGTCAGGGGGTCGGGATCAGATGACGGCGGCGGGCGCGTTCAGTTTTGGAAGTGCCCACATTGCCAGCGCGCGAAGAACTTGAAGCCCGACTGGTTCTGCAAGCACTGCGCGAGCCCAAGGGGCTACAAAAAGGCTGGGACCCCGAGGCCATCGGCAGCCCTAAAGGTGCCAGGGCGAACGAATCGCCGCCCCTCACGATTGGATTGCAGCCCACGCCGTCGGGAGACGAGCCCAGCATCCAAGAGCTCGAGAAGACGGTGGGGCTGTCAAAGCGCGGCGGGGGTGCGACCGCGGCCCGCCAGACTAATATGTCCTCGAGGAGGGGCGCGCAGCCGAGAGGGGGCCCGAGGAGAAGCCCATGCAGCAACGCACATCACAGGCTCACCAAGCTGCGTTCAACTTTGAGGAGCAGCTCAACAAAGAGATCGAGCAGCTCGAGAAATGGAAACACCGTGCTGCCGAGAAGCAGAGTGCCGTGAAGAAACTGTCCGAGGAGCTCGGACAAGCAGATCTGCATCACAAAGAATTGGTTGCCCTGCTACACGGTGTGCCCTAGCAAGCCTGATGACAGCGGCGCTCTTCATGCTGCTGGCCTGCGCGCGCGGGATATCCTCGAAGGGGGGATGCAGCCTTCGGAATTCACAGGCGCGGGAAGCATCCTTGACTTGCCAGACGGCGAGTGCCGCATCACCGACAAGGACATGGGAGCTCTGGAAGAGCGCGCCAAGGCCTTGCAGGCCAACGTCGCCGAAGTCACTCGAAAGGCCATCGGCGACATCACGTCCAAGATTGACCAGACCAAGGGTGACCACAACACGCGCGTCCTCAGGCGCGGCGGGAAAGGCAAGACCGATACTTATTTGTGTAGGACTAGGGGTCGCCCATGTTCCTCCAGGCGCTCCAGTGGGCCTCAATGGAGTGACATCCCATGCGCCCCACTCTCGTCAGCGATGGCAGAGTGACCCTCCTCAACCCGTCCGAAGGGCAGGCAGACGCGCTGCAAAGAGAGGGCGACGCCGTCGAGAGGGGGCTCTCAGGCGGGCCTCAAAATGGCGGGCCGGGAGCCCCAATGCACCTGGACCCCCTGCGTTCAACGCAGACAAAAAGGCATCGCAACACGCAGTGCGTAGCAAGGCATTCTCCAG